GTTCCTGTCACAGCAGCAAAATCGCAGCGTGTGAGGAGCCAGCCCCGCTCGTGCCTCCGTGAAATCCAGGTAATGACCCAGAGCTGGGAATTCATGTTTCATTCTGGCAGCCCTGGCAGACAGCTCCCGAATGGAAATGGATTCCTGGCTGTTCCYTTCGCCATTCCAGCTCCGCTCACACTCCGGGAATTCCGGCCAAAGGGCTGAGCAAGGGTGGGCCCTGGAATCACCTGGGTAATTAGCCGGGGTGTTAATGAGAGCCTGGGGGCACCGCGGGGCTGGGGCAGGGCGGGAGCGCGGCAGGGACACCCCGGGAGGGACACCCCGTGAGTGTGACAGTGACACCCAGTGAGTGTGACAGTGACACCCCGTGAGGAACACCCTGTGAGTGTGACAGTGACACCCTCTAGTGTGGCAGGGACACCNCAGCCCTGGCAGACAGCTCCCGAATGGAAATGGATTCCTGGCTGTTCCTTTCGCCATTCCAGCTCCGCTCACACTCCGGGAATTCCGGCCAAAGGGCTGAGCAAGGGTGGGCCCTGGAATCACCTGGGTAATTAGCCGGGGTGTTAATGAGAGCCTGGGGGCACCGCGGGGCTGGGGCAGGACGGGAGCGCCGCAGGGACACCCCGTGAGGGACACCCCGTGAATGTGACAGTGACACCCCATAGTGTGGCAGGGACACCCCATAGTGTGACAGGGACACCCCGTGAGGAACACCCCGTGAGTGTGACAGTGACACCCCAGGAGCGTGACAGAGACACCCCGCGAGGGACACCCCATAGTGTGACAGTGACACCCCAGGAGTGTGAGAGGGACACCCCAGGTGTGTGACAGTGACACCCCAGTAGTGTGACAGGGACACCCCAGGAGTGTGACAGTGACACCCTGTGAGTTGCCAGTCACACCCCAGGAGTGTGACAGTGACACCCCATAGTGTGGCGGGGACACCCCGTGAGTGTGACAGTGACACCCTGTGAGTGTTACAGGGACAACCCGTGAGTGTGACAGTGACACCCCGGGAGTGTGACAGGGACACCCCGTGAATGTGGCAAGGACACTCCGTGAGTGTGACACCCCACGAGTTTCATAGGAACATCCCCCGAATATGTCCGTAAGTGTGACAGGGACACCCCGTGAGTGTGACAGTGACACCCCAGGAATGTGACAGGGACACCCCGTGAATGTGACAGTCACACCCCAGGAGTGTGACAGTGACACCCCATAGTGTGGCAGTGACACCCCGTGAATGTGATAGTGACATCCCATGAGCGCGGTAGGGACAGCCCGTGAGGAACACACTGTGAATGTAACAGTGACACCCCAGGAGTGTGACAGGGACACACCCTGAACGTGACAGGACACCCTATACATGCACCAGGGACACCCTGTGAGAGTGACAGTGACACCCCATGAAGTTTCATCGAATCATCCCCTGAATGTGTCCATGAGTGTGACAGGGACACCCCGTGAGTGTGACAGGGACACCCCATGAGTTTCATAGCAACACCCCACGAGTGTGACAGGGACACCCCAGGAATGTGACAGGGACACCCCGTGAGTGTGACAGGCACACCCCACAGCGCAGCAGCTCCTGCCCTGCGCCAGCACCAGGGACACGCTTTGGGATGTTTTGGGATGCGCCCTCAGGTGCGGTAACCCAGGTGTGGGTCCAGGTYCATCCCGGTGGTGTCAGCCCCAAAGCCACCCTGTCCCTGCCGGGCTCCGCTATCCCAAATTCCCAACGTTTGTTCCTGGATTCCACCATCCCAAATTCCAGGGGATTGTCCCTGGGCTTCATTATCCCAAATTCCCGGTGATTGTCCCCCGGCTCCACCACCCCAAATTCCCAGCAATTGTCCCTGGGCTCCACTATCCCAAATTCCCAGCAATTGTCCCTGGGCACCACTATCCCAAATTCCCCGCGACCGTTCCCTGGGCTCCAGCACCACAGATTCCCCGCGATCGTTCCCTGGCTCCACTACCCCAAATTCCAGGGGATTGTCCCGCGCCTCCAGAATCCCAAATTCCCAGCGTTTGTCCCGGGCTCCACCACCCCAAATTCCCAGCAATTGTCCCTGCGCTCCACTATCCCAAATTCCCAGCGTTTGTTCCTGGGATCCACCACCCCAAATTCCAGGGGATTGTCCCGCGCCTCCGGAATCCCAAATTCCCAGCGATTGTTCCCGGGCTCCACTACCCCGAATTCCCGGCAATTGTCCCTGGGCTCCACTATCCCAAATTCCCAGCGATGGTCCCCTGGCTCCAGCACCCCAGATTCCAGAGGATTGTCCCCTGGGCTCCACTATCCCAAATTCCCAGCGTTTGTTCCTGGGATCCACCACCCCAAATTCCAGGGGATTGTCCCCCGCCTCCAGAATCCCAAATTCCCAGCTACTGTCCCACGGCTCCACCACCCCAAACTCCCGGGGATTGTCCCCGGGATCCACCAACCCGAATTCCCTGCGACTGTCCCCGGGCTCCACCACCCCAAATTCCCGGCGATTGTCCCGGGCTCCACCACCCCAAATTGCAGGTGATTGTCCCCTGGGCTCCACTATCCCAAATTCCCAGCGTTTGTTCCTGGGATCCACCACCCCAAATTCCAGGGGATTGTCCCGAGCCTCCAGAATCCCAAATTCCCAGAGTTTGTTCCTCGGATCCACCACCCCAAATTCCAGGGGATTGTCCCGCGCCTCCAGAATCCCAAATTCCCAGCGATCGTTCTCCAGCTCCACCACCCCAAACTCCCGGCGATTGTCCCCAGGATCCGCCAGCCGAATTCCCGGCGACTGTCCCAGGATCCACCACCCCGAATTCCCGGCGATTGTCCCCGGGCTCCAGCACCCCAAATTCCAGGGGATTGTCCCTGGGCTCCACTATCCCAAATTCCCAGCGTTTGTTCCTGGATCCACCACCCCAAATTCCAGGGGATTTTCCCACGCCCCCAGAATCCCAAATTCCCAGCGATTGTTCTCCAGCTCCACCACCCCAAACTCCCGGCGATTGTCCCCAGGATCCACCAGCCGAATTCCCGGCGATTGTCCCCGGGCTCCAGCACCCCAAACTCCCGGCGATTGTCCCCTGGCTCCAGCACCCCAAATTGCAGGAGATTGTCCCCTGGGCTCCACTATCCCAAATTCCCAGCGTTTGTTCCTGGGATCCACCACCCCAAACTCTGGGCGATTGTCTACAGGCTCCACCACCCCCAATTCCTGGCGATTGTCCCAGGATCCACCACCCCGAATTCCCAGCTTTCGTTCCCTGGCCCCAGCACCCCAAACTCCCCTCGATTGTCTCCCGCCTCCATCACTCCCAGCTCCCGGGGATTGTCCCAGGATCCACCACCCCGAATTCCCTGCGACTGTCCTCGGGCTCCACCACCTCGAATTCCCAGCGATCGTTCCCTGACTCCACTATCCCAAATTCCCAGCATTTGTTCCTGGGCTCCACCACCCCAAACTCCCCTCGATTGTCACCCGCCTCCAGCACCGTCCCCAGCGGGAGCTCCCCGCTTTAATCTGATGCAGCCCCACCCCACCGCCAGTTTGGGGCTTTTTGGGTAAAACCCGGCYGCCAATTGCGGCACTCGGGGAGCGCCGGCGGCGGGGACAGGCGGGTCCCGGGTGTCCCAGCCCTTCCCTCGGCCMGGCGGAGCGAGGCACCGACCCAGGTAAGGCTCGGGCAGCTCCGGGAGCGGCAGCTGCGAGGCAGAAAAAAAAATTTTTGCATCATCGCTGGGGCGTTTTCATCCCTCCTTCACTTCTGCAGCTGCARAGGAATTGGGGGAAATCCGCTTTTCCCATATTCCGTTTGTGCGGTGTGSGGAGGAAGCAGAACTCAGCGGGGGTGGGTCACATTTAAAGCAGAGCTAAATTCGGATTTGCCTCAGTTTTCAGCTGTTCTCTGCGTATTTTAGGAGTGCCACAAATTGTCAGATGGACGAATTGCTGGTCAGAGGTGGTGTCTGGGTGTCACCTTGGTGAGGTGGGAATCTGCTCCCACCGCATTCCCGAACACGCTTTAGGGCGATGACAATAATAACAATTAGCCGAGGGCGCAGCAGAGCGTTAATTGCGAACCGAAATCCCATCCAGAGCCTGCTCAGGGCAATCCTCTCCTCAATTTCCACTTTCTCTGGGCAGCGCTCCGGGCTCCAGGACATTTCCCTGGCCGAGGGACTTCTCCGTGCCCGCTCCKCTCCTCCTGCATTCCGAAATCCCAAACTCTCCCCGGTGCATTTTGTGCTTGTGCTGACAGCACAGAACCGCCGTTCCTTCGGCATTCCTGCAGAATGTTAATCGGGGCTGAATTCCGTGATGGATCCAGAGGGAAGGGGGATTTGGAGAGGACAGAAGAGTGGCAGGTTCAGAGCTCTGGAGGGGAAGATACGGGACAGGCGTTGAATTCTGGATGTATCCTGGTGTTACCCTGCATTGTGTGGGGGACTTGTGTAACTATTAAAGCAAATTTCACTCGATTTTATACAAAARGAAGTCCAAGAACAAATTCAGAGGCTCCCCCTGTGCCTCAGCTCAGGTGAAAATCCCCCCTGCTGTGGGTTCCTGCAGCACTTGAAGCTGCTGGAAGGATTTTTCTGTCACAGATCTCTTTTAAAACAGCAATTAAAATAGAAATCCATAGTGAAAAATCATGGGGAAAGTCTGAATAGAGTTTGGGTTTCCATTCTCAGGGCAGCAGAGGAAGGGGAAGAGCCCCAGGAGGAGGGATGGGGACAGCCCCCTCTCCTCAGAATCCTCCCACCTCGCAGGAATATTGCAGGGAGCTGGGAAAGAGTGGGAAAATCAGGGGGGAAAAATGTCCCCGACAGGAATAATCCCCATTTCAGAGAGGGGCAGAGAGGCCTGAAMACAAATTAAATCCTTTCCATCTGCTTGGGGGCTGAAGTGGGATATGAAATTAAAGATAAAAATGGGGGAAAACGTTCTTTAAAAGTGATGCTCTCATTTTTATTTTTTTTTTCAAACTTAGAGCAGGAAAAAAGCGACTTTGAGCCCCCGAGGGAAGATGTGGGCTTACACCGTGGGCTTCACCGTCCTGCCCCAYGTCGGAGGTTTCCTTGGCTGGTTCCTCAACCGAAAAGAAATCCCAGCCTGGTACGAGAAGCTGAAGAAACCTTCCTGGTGCCCGTCCCGYAAAATGTTCCCGGTGGCCTGGACCGTGCTGTACACGGGCATGGGGTGAGTGCTGCGAGCGCTTCTTCCCGTCCTGCTGCCCCTGGCACAGCCAGAGCCGCCCTCCAGGCTCGGTGTGGTTTTTTGGGTATCCTAAACCAGTGCAGGGTGTGAGGCACAGCCCGGGGGAGATGCCACAACCTGCTGTGACACTAGGCAGGGGACAGGAGCCACTCGGGAGTGGCACGGGGGAGGTTTGGGAGGAATCACGGAATGGAATGGTGGAACAGCCCCAGCTGGAAAGGGATCGGCAAGTCCAGCCCCTGGCCTTGCGCAGACATCCCAAAATGCCACCCTGGGCATCCCTGGAAGAGCTGTCCCAACTCTCCTGGAGCTCTGGCAGCCTCAGGGTCTGGGGAGCCAGGGYAGTGCCCAGCACCCTCTGGGGAAAAAGCTCTCCCGGATCTCCATCCCAAATTCCCTTGGCGCAGCTCCAGCCATCCCTTGGTCCTGTCCCTGTCACAGAGAGCAGAGCTCAGTACCTGATGTGGGGAAAAAAAAAAATCCCTGTGGAGATCTCCTGTGGGAAACATCCCTACCCAGGCTGCTTTGTCCCTATAAGGRTCACTTTGTCCCTGTGAGGGTCACTTTGTCCCTATAAGAGTCACTTTGTCCCTATAAGGATCCCTTTGTCCCTATAAGGGTGAATTTGTCCCTGTGAGGTTCAGTTTGTCCCTATAATGGTAAATTTGCTCCTGTGAGGGTCACTTTTCCCCTATATAGGTAAATTATCCCTATAACGGTAAATTCGTCCCTATAAAGGTAAATTTGTCCCGATAACGGTAAATTTGTCCCTATAACAGTAATTTTGACCCTATAACGGTAAATTTGTCCCTATAACGGTAAATTTGTCCCTGTAAGGGTCACTTTATCCCTATAAGCGTCAGTTTGTCCCTGCAAGGGTCAGTTTGTCCCTATAAGAGTCACTTTGTCCCTATAAGGGTCCCTTTGTCCCTATAAGGTAAATTAGTCCCTATAAAGGTAAATTTGTCCCTATAAAGGTAAATTTGTCCCTATAATGGTAAATTTGCTCCTGTGAGGGTCACTTTTCCCCTATATAGGTAAATTATCCCTATAACGGTAAATTCGTCCCTATAAAGGTAAATTTGTCCCGATAACGGTAAATTTGTCCCTATAACAGTAATTTTGACCCTATAACGGTAAATTTGTCCCTATAACGGTAAATTTGTCCCTGTAAGGTGGCTGCAGGCACTGACAGTCCCTCTCTCCTCACAGCTACGCCTCGTACCTGGTGTGGAACGACCTTGGCGGCTGCAGCAGCAGGGCCATCGTCCCCCTGGGGCTCTATGGGGCTCAGCTGGCCCTCAACTGGGCATGGCCCCCCTTATTCTTCGGAGCCCGCAACCTCAACATGGTAATGGGGTTCATTTCTCGGGGTTGGGGCGCTTTGGGGCTGCGTTCAGTGGGATCGCGGCTGCTCGCGTTGCAGACAATGGTATCAGCCCCCGACAGCCCGGGAGGGCACTGCCAGGGCGGTACCCCCTCGATAAGGGTCCGTGCTGGGAGATAAAACCCTTTGTGGGGTCACACCCTRAGGGACAGCAGCGCTGTCACATCCCTGCGCCATCCGGGGCAGCTCCCGGGGGTTTTATCGGGCACACGTTGTGGCGATGCCACGCCCGGGCCGGGCCACCGGGCACCGCCTCAGGTGYCACCACCGCGGGGGACAGAGGCACGGATGGGGATTTGTGTTTCCAGCTGAATTTTGGCACTCTGGGGGTGAAAAGTGCCGTTGGAAGGTTTGTTCGGTCACCGCGGCTATCGCCCCGTTGTCACCAGCAAAGGGGATGATCGGGGCGTTAATCAGCGCGATTCGATAATGAGCCGTGAAGAGGACATTAATTAGTGTCGCTTGCTGGTGTGACACTCTCAGATGTCGCTGATTGGAGTCCAGGGACSATGTCCTGGGGTTTGGGATCGCTCCAGCGCCGAGCATCCCGCGTTCCTGCCCCACCTCCCCGGCGGTAACGGGAGATTTTGGCAGTGCTGGGCGGGGCTGTGTCCCAGAGCCGGGAATTACCGTGTTCCAGGGCTGGAATTACCGTGTTCCCGGGCTGGAATCACCGTGTTCCAGGGCTGGAATCACCGTGTTCCAGGGCTGGAATCACCGTGTTCCAGGGCTGGAATCATCATGTTCCCGGGCTGGAATCACCGTGTTCCAGGGCTGGAATTATCGTGTTCCAGGGCTGGAATTACCGTGTTCCAGGGCTGGAATCACCGTGTTCCTGAGCTGGAATCACCGTGTTCCTGAGCTGGAATCACTGTGTTCCAAGGCTGGAATTACCGTGTTCTAGGCTGGAATCACCGTTTTCCTGAGCCTGGAATCATTGTATTCCCGAGCTGGAACTGCTATATTCCCGGGTCTGGAATCACTGGGCTCCTGAGTGGGAATCAATGTGTTCCCAAACTGGAATCACTGTATTCCAGAGCTGAAATCACTGTTCCCAGACTGGAATCCCCATATTCCCAAGCTGGAATCCTCATATTCCCGAGCTGGAGTCCCCATATTCCCAAACCAGGAATCACCGTGTTCCCAGGGTTGAAATCACTGTTCCCAGCTCTGGAATCCCCATATTCCCAAACTGGAATCCCCATATTCCTAAACTGGAATCCCCATATTCCCGAACTGGAATCCCCATATTCCCAAGCTGGAATCCTCATATTCCCAAACTGGAATCACCATATTCCCAGGGCTGAAATCCCTGTTCCCAAAACAGGAATCACCATATTCCCAGGGCAGAAATCACTGTTACCAAACTGGAGTCCCCGTATTCCCAAACTGAAATCCCCATATTCCCAAACTGGAATCACCATATTCCCAGGGCTGAAATCCCTGTTCCCAAACTAGAATCCCCATATTCCCAAACTGGAATCCCCATATTCCCAAACTGGAATTCCCATATTCCTGAACTGGAAACACTGTGTTCCCAGAGCTGGAATCCCCATATTTACCAGGTCTGGAACCCCCACATTCCCAAACTAGAATCACCATGTTCCAGGGCTGAAATCACTGTTCCCAAACCGGAATCCCCAAATTCCCAAACTGGAATCCCCATATTCCCAGGGCTGAAATCCCCATATTCCCAAACTAGAATCACCGTGTTCCCAGGGTTGAAATCACTGTTCCCAGCTCTGGAATCCCATATTCCTAAACTGGAATCCCCATATTCCCAAACTGGAATTCCCATATTCCTGAACTGGAAACACTGTGTTCCCAGAGCTGGAATCCCCATATTCCCGAGCTGGAATCCCCATATTCCCAGTGCTGAAATCCCTGTTCCCAAACCAGTAATCTGCACATTCCCGAACTGGAATCCCCACATTCCTGAGCAGGAATCCTCATATTCCCAAACTGGAATCACCATATTCCCAGGGCAGAAATCACTGTTACCAAACTGGAGTCCCCATATTCCCGAGCAGGAATCCCCATATTCCCAAACTGAAATCCCCATATTCCCGAGCTGGAATCCCCATATTCCCAAACTGAGATCCCCATATTCCCAAACTGGAATCCCCATATTCCCAGGGCAGAAATCACAGTTACCAAACTGGAATCCCCATATTCCCAAACTGAAATCCCCATATTCCCAAACTGTAATCACCGTGTTCTCAACCCAGGAATCCCCACATTCCCGAGCAGGAATCCCCATATTCCCAAACTGAAATTCCCATATTCCCAGAGCTGAAATCACTGTTCCCAGCTCTGGAATCCCCATATTCCCAAACTGGAATTCCCATATTCCCAAACTAGAATCACCGTGTTCCCAGGGCTGAAATCACTGTTACCAATCTGGAATCCCCACATTCCTGAACAGGAATTCCCATATTCCCAAACTGGAATCCCCATATTCCCGAGCAGGAATCTCCATATTCCCAAACTAGAATCCCCATATTCCCAAACTGAAATCCCCATATTCCCAAACTGGAATCCCCATATTCCTGAGCTGGAATCACCATATTCCCAGGGCTGAAATCACTGTTCCCAAACCGGGAATCCCCATATTCCCGAGCAGGAATCCCCATATTCCCAAACTAGAATCACCATATTCCCAGGGCTGAAATCCCTGTTCCCAAACCAGTAATCTGCACATTCCCGAACTGGAATCCCCATATTCCCAGGGCTGAAATCACCATATTCCCAAAACAGGAATCCCCATATTCCCAGGGCAGAAATCACTGTTACCAAACTGGAATCCCCATATTCCCAAACTGGAATCCCCATATTCCCAAACTGGAATCACTGTGTCCCCAAGCTGGAATTCCCATATTCCCAAAGTGGAATCCCCATATTCCCAAACTGGAATCAATGTGTCCCCGGGCAGGAATCCCCGTATTCCCAAACTGGAATCACTGTGTCCCCAAGCTGGAATTCCCACATTCCCAAACTGGAATCCTCATATTCCCGAGCTGGAATCCCCATATTCCCAGGGCTGAAATCCCCGTTCCCAACCCAGGAATCCCCACATTCCCGAGCAGGAATCCCCACATTCCAGAGCAGGAATCCCCACATTCCCGAGCAGGAATCACGGTGTTCTCTCTCCCGCAGGCTCTGATCGATGTTCTGTGCCTGGACGCTCTGGCCATCGGCACCCTGTGCTCCTGGTACCCCATCAACAGGGTGGCAGCGCTGCTGCTGCTGCCCTACCTGGGCTGGCTGGCCATGGCCACCTGCCTCACCATCCGCATCTGGAAGGACAACCCCGAGAAACCTGTGAAAGGAGAATAAACCGCGGCATTTTGTGTGAACTGAGGTGGAAGAATCCGGGGGGTTCATTTTGGGGTGCGACTCCTTCTCCTCCTCCTCCTCTTTCATCCTTTAAGGTGACTGTGCAGCCTCACAGGGTTTTCTCCAGCAGGTTTAGGGGCTGCTCCTTGACCTTCACGCCAATAAATCAAATCCCATAATTTGGCACAATTCATAAATCCTATAATTTGGTGCAATTCGGAAATCCCATAATCTGGCACCATTCAGAAATCCCATAATTTGGCACAATTCATAAATTCCATAATCTGGCACAATTAATAAATCCCATAATTTGGCACAATTAATAAATTCCATAATTTGGCACAATTCATAAATCCCATAATTTGGCACCATTCAGAAATCCCATAATTTGGCACCATTCAGAAATCCCATAATTTGGCACCATCCAGGATGGGACCCCTCGTCTCTGCCGCCATCCCCCCGAGAGCAGAGTTTGGTCACACAAACTCGTGTGGCAAATCCCATCTCCTCTGCTGGGACCAAACCGAAATGCCCTTCACTTGTGCACACCCATTTTTTAAGAACTTTTTGATTTTTTCTTTAATTACTTGATTTTTGAAAGAAATTTTTTTCAATTACTTGATTTTTTAAAGAAATTACTTCTTTGTTTTTTTTTTTTAAATACTTGTTTTTTTTCAAGAATTTACTTAATTTTTAAAAAAATTACTTGCATTTTTAAGAAATTACTTAGGGGTTTTTAATTACTTGTTTTTTCAAGAATTTACTTGTTTTTTTTAATTTACTTGGGTTTTTTAAGTAATTACTTGGGCTTTTTTTATTACTTGATTTTCTTAAAGAACTCGATTTTTTTTTAAATTATTTGATTTTTAAAGCAATTACTTGCTTTTTTTAATTACTTGATTTTTTAAAAGAATTTACTTGTTTTCTTAATAATTACTTGATTTTTTACTTGATTTTTTAACTACTTGATTTTTTAAAAAGAAATCACTTGATTATTTTTTAAAATGACTTGATTTTTTAAACAAAAAAAAGAATTGAATTTTTTTTAAATGACTTTTTTTTTTTAATTACTCGATTTTTCGAAAGAAATTGCTCAATTTTTTTGCTCTTTGTGCTGTTGTTTCACAGCCCTAATTTGTGTTTTACCCCTTTAGCTCTTTACCTGCTGGCAGGGCTGGGTTTTGTTCTTCTGATGATGGAGATTGAGCTCCTTCTCCTGTCTCCTTCCCCTCCCTGCTCCAGGATAAAGCAGCAATAATTAAAAAAAAAATCAGCATGCAAATTCTTCTCCCAAGAGGAAATTCCTCTCTTCCACCTCAGCCTGCCATTCCTCACTGGAACAGAAAAACTCACACCAGTGCCTTTGAAAAAAAAAAAAAAAAAMAAAAAACACTTAATTTTGGGAGTTTTTTTTCAAGTACAGAGACAGCAGAGTCTGGAAAATTTGTGAACCTGCTGCCACTGCCTCGAAGGGTGTAATTAATTCTATAATTGGTAAAAAGCTCCAGCAAAATCTGTCAGGTGCAGTGCAAGTGCCTCATCCTGGAGCATTTCCATGCCATYATTAATCAGGAAAGGTTAAAACAGGAGGAATTCCAAAGGAATGGGATGGAATTGGACACAAGGAG